TTTACTGTTCTTGTTGCTGCGGTCACTGCTGCTGCTGTTACTGTGTTCAGGGTTCTCCAGTCTTGTGGTGGACTTGAACCTCAGACCCAGTGAGGTTCTGGCACTGGTCCACAGCACAGGGTCCAGAGTGTTTCTGGGAACACTCGTGAGGTGGCAGCGTGCCCGTATCCAGCCAAGTGTTAGTAACAACCCAGCGGTGGAAACAGATGTCCAGAGTCGTAGCATTATTATGGGATGTTGTTCTTTTCTGTTACCACATCAGCAAACAACAAAGGTGCCGTCAATGATCGGTTCTATTCATCCCAGAAGCACGCGCTGACGAGTGGAACGGCTCAGGAATCAAACCTTCAGATGCTGAGAGAGTCATTGGTCAGAACCAGGTCCAGTTCAACCTTTGAACCTGAACCAGGTCCAGTCTGGTTCAGGTTCAACCTTTGACCCTCTTCCTGTTTATTCGACTGTCAATCATAAACCTGGATCCTGTTGGCACTGTTTTTATTGTGGACTGTTTTGGGTTGTTGTTGTTGTTGTTGTTGTTGTTGTTGTTGTTGTTGTTGTTGTTGTTGTTGTTGTTTGGACCAAAGTCCACAGTTCCAGGGAAGGACGTCTGTTTGGCACAGACTGGGTTTGAACAGCCAGGACCAGGTGGACCAGAGCCAGAACTGCTGCTGGAGCTGTTTACCCTGAGACTGGGCAGATATTCACGTGTCTGTTTCCCCCCCCCCCCCCCCCGGGGGGGGTGTGTGGGGGGGTGTGTGAATACTCACGTACAGTTTGTCTTTTAGGGTGGAGTCACATCTGCACGTCCTCTCCCACATCATGACCTGGACTGAGGCAGAGAGACTCACTGGTTCATGTCCAAGCCTCCTCTTTGTGATGTAAGGCAGGAGAACTTACCGCCCAGCCACTGTGTGACTTTGTTTTGGTCTCTTTATAAGTACAGACGTTGTCAAAAGCAGCTGAACGTGTTATAAATGATGAAGATGAAGATGAAGGTTCTCAGTCATGGAGCTCACTCTGACGTCCAGGTTTTAAATGTAAACAAACAAGCACGCTGGATTTTTAAAAAGGCTGCATCTGTTTTCTACAATAATAATAATAATAATAATAATAATAATAATATATATATATTAATAATGGTAATAATAATAACTTTGTCATTTCTGCCAACATTTCTAGTGGGCGTATTTCTACCTTCACCTCAGGTGGAGTCCGGCCCGTCTTGCGTCCTCTTGTCCGTCCATTTCCTCCTGTCTGTGTCCGACCCAGACTCTGACAACAAGCTGCTTCTGTCCTCCCCCCTCCTCCCCCCACTGTCCCATTGTCCTCCCCCACCTCTGCACAGCTCCCCTTCTGTCCTGCAGCCTCTTGTCGTTTGTTTCTCCTGAACACCAGGCCGTTTGGCTGTGACTCAGAGAAGCTGAGGCCAATCAGAGGTCGCAGACCCCCCCCCCCCCCCCCCCCCCCCCCTCCCCCCCAACCCCCCCCCTTCCCCCCCACATAGAAGTCCATGAGGGAATCAACCAAAGAGATGAAAAAGTGTAGTTTAAGTTGAGTGAGTGGGAGGTTTTCATGACTGGGTGAAGTCTGCAGAGGCCAACGCCAAAATAATGGGCCGACTCCTCCATCTGGACATAATGGAGCCTCTCATCCACTGTGGTCATGTCACATGGTCAGAGTGGTCACTTTTACCAGGGCTATTAATACACTGATCCATCATGGTCTCCATCATCTTCATCTTCATCATCTTTATCATCATCATCATCATCATCTTCATCATCATC